GAGGAGGAGGAGATTGGATTTATACCCCGCCCTTCACTTGGAGTCTCAGAGCAGCTTACAAACTCCTTTCCCTTCCCCTCCCCACAACAGACACCCTGTGAGGTGGGTGGGGCTGAGAGAACTCTGACACAAACTGCTCTTTTTCAAGGACAGCTGTGCCAGAGCTTGTGACTGACCCAAGGTCACATCAGCAGGTGCAAGTGGAGGAGTGGGGAATCAAACCCGGTTCTCCCAGATTAGAGTCCGCACACTTAACCACCACACCAAACTGGCTCTCCTGTGGGTAGTTGTAAGCACTAGAGCAAAGGTGTTGAACTCTTTTATTATGAGGGCTGGATCTGACATAACTGTCACTTTGCCAAGCCAGGTCATGTGTGCTATTAAATGTAATGCCAGGTACTGGAGATATAAACTTCATAAAGGACAACAGATAGTAAGCTCTGAGTTGATGTGTCCTCACTGCAAGGCCCTGTGGGCTGGGAGGGGAGAGCAGAGGAAAACCCACTTGGGCAGACTGGAGAGCCAGCACTGCAGTACTGGGCAGACACTCCCATGCTGCCTGGAGGGGGGGAACCCCCTTCCACAGCCTGCTTCCGCCACCAATGCTATGAGCCCCAGGGTAAAATGCAAAGTGGCTGGGTGTTGTGAGGTCCCCCTGCCCTCAAGCCACCATGGAAGGGGACTGGGAAGACAAGCTGAACTAATCCCCCACCTGCAGAAGCGGGGTGGGTGGGCAGCAGCACAGGTCTGAGGCCACATGCACAGTGGGACCTAGGCCAAGCAAAGCCCAATAAGCTGGAGATGCCTGTGCAGCAGCAGCCAACTGTGGCCAAGGACGCCAGGTGATCCATGGTGGGGCGATGCTAGGGGTTCAAGCCAGAGATAGTTGAGAAGCCATGCCATCTCCATGTGGTAGCAGCTGTCCTGGGCCAAAGGCTACAGGATCATCTGATGGGGAAGTGGGCACCATGTGCACAAGGCCATGCATGTGGCAGAGGCCCCAGGCCACCCAATACCCAGTATCACTAGAGATCACCAGCAACACCCCCCCACAAGGTGACAGCCACCTACACCTGAAGGCTGCTAGGCGGTCAAGGGGGGAATGAGGCACAACTGTCGAGTTGTGTGCTCAGTGGCAGGACTAGGCCTGTGGAAGAAACTACCAAGGAATGCCCCCCATTGGCCAAAGCACAGCTTCTGCATGGGGGGTGGTCACAAATACAGTGGTGGAGCTGGCTGCCAGCAAGCCCCAACAGAGGACCATCTGCTTGTCTGCACCCCCCATGTGCAAACGCTGAGCCCCGTGGCCATCTGGGACAGCATCTCCAGAGCTGCAGGCCAAATGGAGAAGTGAGAATGTAGCTGCTGTGGCTCCCAACTGACCAGTGAAGCTGTCCCTGAAGTGAAGGGTTATGCTTGACTGTTGTAGACAAGGTTGTTCTTCCATGCTGAAGCCACAAGTGGAGTGGCTCTGCCCCCGAGCAGCCTCCTGTTCCCTCCCTTGTACCAGTTGCTTGCGGGCTGCATAAAAGCCCTAGATGTGCTGGTTCTGGCCCTCGGGCCTTACGTTTGACACCCCTAAACTACAGTGTTGTGATTATTAACTTGAATTAAAATGTAGTTTTGGGAAAGGTGGTGATGAAAAACTGGATCCCTTGAACACCTGCATGTCTCTCATGTACGTAAGACTGTGGATAGCTTTTGAATTTTACATTAATGAAAAAATAAAGGTTTTGCCTGATAAGTCTGGTAGAAATAATTAGGCTGATCTGAGGAGGAACTAAAGAATAAATTAAAACTACTAATTGGATTGTGTGTTTTTAAAGATTGAAAATGTGATAGGAGGAACATTTTGATGCTACTAGAACAGCAGATGCCAAAGAGGAGAAAGTTCAATAATAATCCCTTGCCAAAGAATCTGGTGTTCTGGCATTAGACAAGAGGTCTGAAAAACACAATTGCCTTTTTTTTTGTCACAGAAACACTTACCTGGCAGAAAAGCAGAAAAACTACTAGGTCAGAATCCAAAGAGCTAAGATACCAGCACCCTTCTAAATCCACTGAAGTCTTAAAATACCCCAGGCACATTAGAAGGGTATAAATCTGTTAAGGACTACACTGCTAGTTTTGTACGTTCAAGGGGGATTTAGAGAGCAATCCTAAAAAAGTCTGCTCAGAATTTTACTCAGGTCTATTCAAACAGGTTTTATTCCCATAAAAGTAGGATACGCTATTTTTAAAAAGAAATATCTTTATATTGTTGGATAGCAAACCACTTTTGAAACTGAGATTTCCAAGTAGTTTGTGATATGGCATTGGGGGGGGGGAGGTATGTGTGTACATCAGTTTCTCAATGTGGGGGGGGGGAATCAGAATTGTTACTGGATATGAGCAAGCCTTTGAACAGCCTTAAATTATCTATTTGGATTACCGCCCCAGTCAATAAAAAGTACAACGGAATATTACTGGCTTTGTGTATTTCCATCATTAAGATTGATGTTGGATGATTATGGCCTTCAAGGAAAACGATGCCCCTTCAAAACTTTTGCTTAGCTGAAGAATTGTTAATGTTTTCCTGGCAAAGTCAGCACCAGTATACTTCTCCCTTAATGAAGACACAAGCCTTACTCTTTGCATTAATGAAATCCCTTCCAGCTATACTGTCAGTATTGCTATACTCTCATTACTTCAGCAGAAGGTACAAAGTAAGCAAGCATGTGGGGGTGGAGGACTGTGGGAGGGGAGAGACTTGGTACTCTACCTGTTTAGTTCTCATTTTGGAGTCTGCTGACAGATTGTTGTATGTATAATGGGCCTGTGTGACTCCACAAAAAAGGACTGCCACTATTCCTGAAATACAAAGAAGAAAAAAACAGAGTCAGCTCCTTCTATTCCCTTTCTAGAGTGTGTTCAAAGGGAGAAGAGGGGGAGGATTAGCCTGACTGAACGCTAATTAAATTGTGTTAAATACTTTTAGAAAGCTGCAAGGAGTGTGTTACAATAGCACCCTTTGAATATGCTAGAATGTAGACTTGATAAAAATAGCCAGAGGTCAGAATGCTTCCCTCTAACACTGCACTGTTACATATTTAGTTCAACATACACATCCATAGATCTCTAGTCTAAAGTAACTCTAAAAACTGTTCAAACTTGTTGCACAATTATTCAGTGAAAAACACATAATAGTGAGATATCACATAACAATCTGGTATTCTATTGTGGATTACTCTTAATTAAGAGTGTATAAAACTGCAGCCCGAAAGATTTATTGCAACCTGAGCTTCCATTGTCAACATGGGATATCAGTTGGTGAAATGTTTGGTAAATGATATTTGGTAAATATCATTAGCCTTGGGATAATTAATGCAAAATATACGTTTGTCGTAGAACTTCCCGGTGTGCCAGTTCAGATTTCAGTAGGGGGCAGCATACAGAGTTTCAGCACATGGGAAACATTCAGTGTCTACCCCCAAACATATTGAAGAGTAAATGGTCAAAAGTTTATTATCTGGAGCAACAATTATCAAATGGGACTTGAAACCCAAATTGAAATCCAACCCTAAGCAGAGTTAAACCTCCTAAGTCCACTGATTGTAGTCCTAAGAAGAGAAGTAAGAGAAGAAGAAGCAGTGCAAGGGTACAATTCAGTCAACTTTTTCACTCCATCTCACCCATGCCTGCTGCTCACAAAGGACCCCATCTCTATTGGGTTTTGTAAACGCAGGTTGCATAATCCACTGTATAACCTTTTTGGGTGCCTAGCCAAAGAGCTATTTGGACCCAAACCTAAATCTTTTGAATTTCAGTATTCAGCCTTCATATGGATTAGACCACACCGAACCATACATACCGATTGGCATCAATTTCTTTTTGAACAGATTTAACAAATGCTTAAGCCTTTCTTTTGAAGACAACATGCCTGTTCATGTCTCTTGTATGTGGGCTATAAACAATGCTAATTTTTATGGGAAGACTTATTACTGAAAATACTAATTCCTTCTGAGAAAATTCTGCTCTTCTTTCAAGGTGCTACCACTTAGGTGGCGTCTATCAAAGAAAAATTATTCCCTAGTTGTTTGCTCATTAAAAGTCAGTGATACCTTCATCATCTGGAAATTAAAATAATAATTCCTTCCTTGGAATTTTCTACTGAGCAGAACACTCATTTACCAAGGAAACAGAAACAAAATTAAATGCAAAAGAAATATTGATTTTATTATTGTTGCAACTTGGTAATTTCCCTCTCTTACATACCTGAGAATTTACAATTAATTTGCTGACACCTCCCCACACCAGTGCTCCCTCTAAGCTATGGAGTCTTGTGAGCAAAAATTCTACTTGGTGAGCTACTGGCATTAAAGTTGTGAGCGATCGATTTGGCCACTGCATAAATTAGTTTGCTCTGGAGCTATCCTTCTGGAGCTAAGACAAAAATATGTGAGCCAGAGGCTAAAAAACTGTGAGCTAGCTCACACTAACTCAGCTTAGAAGGAACACTACTATTATATGCTTTATTTGATCATCATCATTGACACTGTTTAGTTCTCATTTTGGAGTCTGCTGACAGACTTGTAGATATAATGGGCCTGTGTTACTCCACAAAAAACCCACAAACCTGCCACTATTCCTGAAATACAACGAAAAAGGGCAGCAGCATGGATGGAGGATTAAAATTAGTCATGGCACAAAAGTAAAAACTGAAAAATGGCAAGTGGGTACAATAGAAATTGTCTCTCCAAAAGTTATTATAAAAGTATAGACAGGGGGTAAAAACCCCCAAACCTGATAATAAAAAAGATGAAGGTCTTGTGATGCGAGTCTATTTGCAGGTAGCAAAACTCCCACTGCGCTGACTTCTTTGATAATGAATAAGCCTAAAAGAACTGGGATGGGTTTCTTAGCTGTATATGCGATGATGTGCACATATAATGAACACTTCCTTCTAGACACTTGTGTAAGGGAGACTATACAACACTCCGAACACACAGAATGGCAACACTTCTTACATTATAATACTGATGACATTTGAAAGACATAATACAAATAAATCATTACATTTCTTAATGGCCTACTGAGAGCATGCATTAATTTATAAACAAATTCTAAAATAAAAAGAAAGAAGATTCATGTCCTCAAGGGAGTTTTCTGCAGATGGGCAGTGGGGAGTTTTTCTCAGAAAGAAAGCGCCATTTAGGACTAGAATTTTCCAACTGTTTGGTAAATGTAGGTTACATGGCATTCCCTTTCAGGGATCGGTCCACCTTAAAAGTTTTGTAATTTAGCAACTGAAACCAAAAGATATGGGGCACAACTCTACTCTCCGACTACAGTTGGAAGGGCGTGGAAGCTCCATTCATGCACCACAAAGTGACAAGGTGATCTTCCCCAGTCCTCCATTTGGTAACTGTAAGCTTCTAGGCATGCAACACCTGCTATGAGCAGTAATAAGCAATGAGAACACTTTGGCATCTGTGACTCTAATTGCTTGGAGAGGAGCAGTGGCAAGCTGGCAAGCTGACTGGGGGCACGAAGGTTCATTCATCAACCATTCAGTAATGGAAGCCTATGAAGTGGATCTGAAGCCATAATCTAACATATTAAAATTCCATGCAACCTGTTCTAAATACATTGCTATGGCAAAATTTAATGTTAAATGTAGCAATCTTTTTGATTTTAAGTTAACTAGCTTACTTTAATTATTTCACCTGTAAATATTGCCACTGGAAGGGTGTTTGTATCCAATAATAGCCATGTCACTTGGGTTCTTACATTAAGCAATTCCGTTTTTTTAAGTAAAGGGGTGAATAAGTTAGCCCTCATCTTGTTAAATATAGGACACTCTATAATGTATTTATTTGTTAGATTTTTACCCTGCCCTCCCGGCTGAGGCTGGCTCAGGGAGGCTTACATAAAAACAATGTAATATAAAATATAACATCCGTTAATACACAAGAGTTCTTAAAACCATAAATATAATAATATAATAAAGTGCTAGTGCTTAGTTTCCTCATCATACAATCAGTTCCTTTATCTTCTTTGGTTATTCTGGGCGATCAGTTCGGGCAGTAGTTGGAGGATCCAGGGGGTCAGGGCTCTCTTGTTATAGGCTATCAGATGTCAGTAGTGGTGGCAGCTCCAAAGGTCTGGCAGAAGAGCTCCATTTTACAGGCCCTGTGGAACTGCAACAGGTTCCACAGGGCCCTGATCTCCTCTGGGAGCTCATTCCACCAGAGTGGAGCCTCCACCGAGAAAGTCCTGGCCCTAGTTTCTTAAAATAGCTGCATCATCAGCATATAGAAGGATTGGAACTTTGCACTTAGGTGTAGAGGATGACATGCAGCTCTCAGGAGTCAGGTTCTAAGGTCATTGATATATAAATTGAACAACAGGGGTGTAAAGTATACAACACTGCTTAACTCCTTTATCTAGGATAAATACCACCAACAGCTGTCCTGACTCCCTGCATCAATCCCAGGCAGTAGGGTTGCTGTAAAGCTGTTGAATTAGGTAAAGGAGATGTGATTCAATGGCATATTTCTTCAGCTTTCCCCATAACTGGGTCTAGAAACTGTATCAAATGCTGATTTAAGATCCATGAAGGCAGTTGCCAGCATGCCTTCTCCAGAACTCGTATATTTATCTACCAGATACTGCAGAGTATAGCAATGGTCGATGGTACTTGCTTCTTTCCTAAACTAATTTATATAGCTCAGTAAATGACCATACGTGATGAATACCTAAACAAAATGGTCCCATTAATCCGTTTTTATTCCTAAACACCTGATAGATGTAATTGTAACAGTTAAAAGATATATTGAGATATATAAAGTATTTTTGAATATTTTATATTTGAAATTCACATTTTAAATGTTATATTTTATTAAGACTTTTGATCATCCTTGTAATATATAATTTAAATAGTATTACCCCTATTTCCTTATTTTCTTTCTGTGTCCCTATCCTTTTATAAACATATCTCTCCTTATATATAATTGAGTAAGAACATTCTATATGAACATTCTAAAATGCCCGCCTTTAGTGTTAGGCCGGAAGAACTGCCACTCAGAAGACGCTGGCTGGGTTGACTGGCTGCTTTGTGCAGTCCCGCCCAGCGTTTCAAGGTCTTTTTCATATGGAAGCTGATTGGACTTCGCTGCATTCTACACCTCAAACTCACCCCCCTCCCCGCAAGGCAGTTGGAATGTCAGTTGCATATGGAACCTTCAAGGTCTTCTGCATATGGAAGCTGATTGGACTTCACTCCATTCCACACCTCATACTCCCCCCCCCTGCAAGGCAGTTGGAATGTCTGGTGGTGTGTAGGTCCCAGGATCATGTTTTAAAAGCTGCCTGGGGGATTATGGACCATTCACACACTTTCAACCTTAACATACCTCATAGGGGGAGAGGAGAATGATGACAGCTGCTTTCCCTAGGCAGAGGCTGGGGGGGGGGAAGTAAACTTGAAGACAGACAGGCAGATAAATGTTAGGCTGATGGTTGCCTGGAAAGGACATAGGGTTGCCAACTCCAGGTTGGAAACTTCCAGGATAGTTTAGGAATGAAGCCTGCTGAGGGTGGGGTCTGAGGAGGAGGAGGAGGAAGAGAAAGAGGAGGACCTCAGACAGATACAATGCCATACTCCCCACCCTCCAAACAAGCTGTTGCCAGTCTCCAGGTGACAGCTGGAGAGCTCTTAAAGCTCTGGTGCTAATTCAAAGTGCTGCAATTTGTCGACAGAGTAGTGTTTTGGCAAATCTTTAGGAATTGTTTGGTGCATTTACGATGAGGCACCCACCCAGAGCCTCTGGCATTTTCTCACTCTGCTGGCATCAAAACCAATTTAAGGC